ACAGAGACACAGGGTAGGTGTCACCCTGATAAATCTCCCTGAAGATGCTGGGGGACCTGAGTTATCCTGGCTACCAGCCGGGATCTTGGACATTGGGGTATGAATGGGGCTGGTATGCTGCACTGGGGAGAGGTGCATGTAGAAGCTACTGGGCTGCCCTGCCCCCAGCTCGGCCTGGCTGGGACTCCCGGGGTTGCAGGGCTGTGGCCAGGGGCTGAGGCCTTCCGGCTGGCCGCTCATTAAAAGGGGATTAGGCCAGGAGCCAGGGGGCCAGCCCAGGCCCCAGGCCTTCCTCTGAGGCCCCTCACAGCTTTGGGGAGGTGATAAAGGGATGGGGAGCCAACCACAGGATGCCTGGGAGGAACTCCTCTGGTCCTGCCTCTGCTGTCCCTGTCACCATATCCTTTTCTACCTCAGTTTCCCTCCTCAGAAAGGATATCTGTCTTTCCAGTGCTGACAAAGACTCTGGCCAGGCCCTCCCCACTCCAGGCGTTTTTCTTCGGTTTGGGGATTAGGGCCGCATCAGCCCACACAAGGTCAGAGGTCAGGGATGGGCTGCAGGGGCCTGTCCATCACTCCCTACTTCCCAGCACAGCCAGGGGAGGTGTCGCTGTCAGTCAGGCCTGCTGCTTTCTGAGCCCGTAACCAAAGGGGCGGGACGCCCACCTCTGCTCTAAGACCCCTCTTTTTGCAGCAGACCCTGCCTCACTGACAGCTGACCTGATGTCCTAGAGATGGACAGCGGGGGTCAGGGGGCTGCCAACTGGGGGGGTCTGAGGATGAAGGCTGTAGGCCCACCTCTTTAGGACTTGTGTCCACTCAGCAGTTCCTTCAGAAGCAGGCATCCTCTGCTGCTTCCCCAAAATTAAAAAATGCAGCGACCCCCTAGGACTAAGTCCTTGTGCCCTGAGAGTGTTCCTGTGCTGGACCTCTGCCAGGCTGCTCTGTGCCAGGACCCTGAGTGTGTAACAGCCACGGGGGAGTGCCAGAGCCTGGGAACAGTGCGGGAAATGAGCTGTCTGGTGCCAGAAAAGGCTCTTCCTTCCTCTTGACGGGAAAGGCCTTCCTGGACAACACCCCACCCGAGTTTGGGTGAAGGTGAAGGGACATCACTCGGGCACACCCTCCCACCCGTAGACCCAGAGGTCCAAGTTTACAGAGGCCCTTCAACCTGGCACCCACAGAACCCATTTGTGCCCTGACCCCTCTCACAGTATTGCCACGGGGATGGGGCAGGGATAGCACTTCTGTCCCCAAAGGTGTGCCTGTGATCAGGAGGGTAGAGATAGGAATAGATCTGAGGACATGGACAGGCTGAATTCACAGGAGCCCTGAGGTCCCCTCACCAATACCTCTTTGGATTCGTGAGTTCCCTTGGCCTAAGTCCCTTCCCAATAGACCTAAGCCCCCCGGTAGCAGAGGGCCAGCGGGAGATGCCCTCTACTAGGACTGAAATTGTCAGAGGAAGATACCCAGGGCTAGCCAAGGCTCCAGTCCATTTATCTGCTTCCTGCCAGAGTCAGGTGTCCAGAGGGATGAAGATCCCTGGTTCCTTTGGCTGGGATGGGGGAAGGGTGGGGGAGGTTTGGGGTGAGATTCCTGAGGTGGCGACTACTCTCCCCTCAACCTCAGTCTTCTTATCTGTAGTTGGAGGTACGCACTGGGTGTCCTTCTTTAAATTCCTCTCTACTATCTGGTCTGAGTGAGGTTAACATTCTAACCAGGAGTTGGAGTTGGTCAGGCAAAAGCTCTATTATACCCAGTTCACTCTGTGATCTATAAAGCACTCAGCTCTCCCTGACTCAGTTTCCCCTTCTGTAGAATGGATTAAAATGATTATGGATTAAGATGATTATGGGTTTAACTTTCCTTCCGTACGTCAGAAGATAGTGCATGCAGGCAGGTTGGGGGTGTGGGGTGGGTTGAGATGAGTGTACAGGAAGCCCCTTCCTGTCCCTTGCCCTCTTCTTTCCTCCCCAGCACTGGGAATGAAGCGGGGATGAGAATGGGGTGGGGGTGCGGCATTCTCCAAGAGATGGTGACAGCTGGGAGCTGCTTCCTTGGAAAAAACTTGTGATCCCATCTCTCCTCCTCCTCCTTCAAGGGCAGAGAGCCTCTATGAAGGAAAGAGAGGGCCCAGTTGTACCCATCTCTCTGAGGTCAGGGTAGGCCTCCCACCCACCTTAATCTCGCTGTGAATGTTGCCGCTAGAAAAGCTGTAAGAGATGGTCTAGCCAGATGTCCCCCTGGGGTTGTGCCGCTCAGGCCACGTCTGTGACTGAGGTTCGCTCACCCTTGATCCCACCTGTTTCCCGTCCTTACCCCTACCTCATGGGAGCCTCTCCTCCCCCCTGCACAGTTTCCACAGTGACAGAGCATCACGTCCTGTGATGAGAGCCATTGACGCCACATCCTGTGGAATTGGGAGGCATCCCTGGGGTCCTGAGTCATGCACCCTGTCATGGAGGGAGAGTCACCTTCCGGCCAGGGCCCTCCCGAAGAGGCGATTTCCAGCAGGATTAACCCCCCTGGGTCTCCAAAAGGCCTGGATGGGGATCCCATGAATGGGTGTGCGCCTTGACGCGCTGCCTCGCTTCCTCTCTGTGACTTGATGCTCTCACCTGTAAACTGGATATTGTAGACACAGGGCTCCCCACCCTTGATGACTGCATAGAGGCTCCCTCCACCCCCACTTAGATCCAGGGACAGACTTGAGAGGGCAGGACAGGGAGTTAAGAGGCTGGATGTTGTTCAAGGCTGGTCTCCTGCCCTGACTTGCTGACGGAATGATCTGGAGCTGATGTGTTTTAGGGCTTTGGACTTGAGTAACGGACTTGAATGCAAAGTTTGGGTCTTGGGAGTGTTGACACAGTCCAAGGGGAGGGTCCAGCTTATAGAGGCCCAAGAGTTGGGCAGGGGTACAGGGTAAAGGTTATGATTGGTTGAATCCCTGGAGACTGGATACCCAGAGATTTCACACACACCCCCAGGTGCCTGTGTCTAAAGGTGGGTCCCTGCCCTTCTCCCTTCCATTGCCCCCAAAGTGCCCGTTAGCCCAGCTGGATGAGTAAGGGCATCTTCAAAGTCGTGCCCCCAGCCAGGGTATAAATAACCGCTGGCGGGCTGTCCCCGCTTTGTGGGGGGGGGGGGGTTGAGGGGGGTTCTGCTGGCAGCCCTGCTTCCTCTCTGGCCACTTCCCGACTCTGGGGGTGGGGGAATGTTTACTTTCCTGTTGTCACTATGGCTGGGTGGCCAGGCGGGAGACTCCGAGTGACCCAACAACAGATGCAGGACAGGTGCCTGGACTGCCCTGCCCAAGACTTCAGAGGCGCCGCTGCACAGGCGGGCGAGGCCGAGGCCAGGCCAGGATCGGCCCTTTGATCCCCAGCGTCCCTGCGTCCCAGCGGTTGGCCAAGGTCATCACCTGTATTCCCTTGTCACCACTAGTCAGGGCTGCTGCCCTCAGCCCTCTGAGTGAGGTCCTGGGAATTGACATGGGTTCTGAGGCAGCTGTGGGAGCCCCCTGACCTCAGCCTGATGTGATTCCCCATCTGTGATTGTCTGAAGCTCCATTCAGGGATACTTCTGTCCTTCCTGGGGTCCCCAGCAGGGCTGAGTCAGCAAGGCCAGTCAGGGAAGAGCGACCCTAAAAGGAAGTGACCTTGATGGAGGAGCTGGGGCCACCTGCTAGTCCTGCCTTTGGGTTTAGGGCCCCAGATCCCAGCTGCTCTCTGTCAGGTGTTTTCAGGCCTGACCCAGGCCTTTCCCTTGATTGTCCCACCTGGGAAGTAGGTTACCAGCTGTGAGGAGGGGAGATGAGATGTGGGTGATGCCTTTGCTGAGCACCCCGTGATGCAGGACACGTGTGTGCACGGATACATACGTGAGCATACTTGGCACATGCGTCATGTGTATGTGCTCGTCAGTGTGTGCTGCCATCCTGAGGCTCCTGTGCTTGTGAATATTCATCACTTTTATTGTAGTCCTCCCTCTCCTCTGAACTAAAAATAGCTGGGCTTGGAGGAGGGGCTTGCCAAGGGGACCCTCTGCACCCCCTTCTCCACCCCACCAGAGATAGGTTCCCATGTCTGCCACTGGCCAAGCTTCTACCTTAAAGGAAGGCTTCCCCCCCTCCCCCCGCCCCAGCAACCTGGGCTGGAAGAGCAAGGCTGTGGGAAAGTGTGGGCCACGAAAGAGAACAGAGGACCAGCTGGACCCTGTCCTCAGCCCTGGAGACTGCAGTGTGAGGCGGAGGGCTGCTTTGCCTGGGAATGACTGCCCCTAGCTGCCTCAGTGGCCTGACACTCCGCCATTAGCAATGCCTTGCTGGGCTCTGGAGCTAGACTGCACTGTCTAAGCGGAGCTATTATAGGTTGGGTTCATGGCCCCAGAAGCCCCCTTGCACCATCCCCCAGGCCTAGAGGAAGTGGGAGTTCTGTGGGGCAGCACGGCCCCAGCAGGGGTTCCCATGTCCTGTGGTGGGGCTTTTATTGTGTGCCAGCTTTGCACTGAGCTCGAGGGGGCAGATAGGGTGAGGATAGGGCAGCAGGGCACCATGCCAGTGTCTGTGGCTGTCTTGGCTGCCCTTGCCCCACCCCCACCTGTTCATTAACCCCTGTGTGACGCTGGCCCCACCCGAGTGTGGGAGCTTTTACGCACCCCTAAGCCTAGAGTCTTTGATGGTATCATGTGCTCTGACCCGCGCCACTGCCTTTTCATCGGGACCCAGAGACTGGCTGCTGATGAATCAGAGGTTTAGCTTTGGGTGTGGCCTCTTTCCTGGCCTATCCACCTGTTCCATTTTCTCCTCCTAGCCTGGGCAGGAGCTGGAAAGGGGCCACAGTGGGCCCTGGAAGGGGTCTGGGGAGGGCTTAGGCTGAGGGGAGAATGGAGACCCTGAGGGCGACCTCTGGAGTCTGTCCACCTTCTGTCAAAGTGGATGTGGTTGCTGTGGTTGGTCACTGAGAGACCTCAGTGCTGTCCTGTTTTTCCTTTCACAGAGCTTAAGGCCACAGGTACTGCCCACTTCTTCAACTTCCTGCTCAACACGACTGACTACCGGATTCTGCTCAAGGACGAGGACCATGACCGCATGTATGTGGGCAGCAAGGACTACGTGCTGTCCTTGGACCTGCACGACATCAACCGCGAGCCCCTCATTGTAAGGGCAGGCACAGATGTGGGGCGCGGGGATGCAGGTCCGGGGCTCCCAGGGGTCCCCCCTGTACATCAGTTGACACCCTTTCTTTGACTCCCACACCTCCGGCAGATCCACTGGGCGGCGTCCCCACAGCGCATCGAGGAGTGCGTGCTCTCAGGCAAGGATGGCAATGTGAGTGTCAGGGGGCTGACAAGTGGGCAGGGGTTGCCCGAGTGACATCAGGGGAGGAGACTAGGACCGGACAGGCATCTGGACACCTCCACAACTCTCCCTCTGGCCCCAGGGTGAGTGTGGAAACTTCGTCCGGCTCATCCAGCCCTGGAACCGAACACACCTGTACGTGTGTGGGACAGGCGCCTACAACCCCATGTGCACCTATGTGAACCGAGGCCGCCGGGCCCAGGTAAGCTGCATCCACCAGGGCTCTGCAATGCCCATACTGGTGGCCCTCATGGGAAGATGCACTTGAACCTCAGCCCTGTGAACTTGGCCAAGTGACTTCCCTCCCTCACCTGTCCGATTCATCACCTGAAAAGGAGGCTAGCCTTTCTCACAGGTAGACATGAAAAGGAGGCAGTGGGCTAATATTTCAGAAGTTCTTAGCTCTGTGTCTGGCTTGTAGTAAGCACTCACTATATACATGGCCACAGTTTTCTTGGTGGTTCCTGGAGCCCACACCCCTGTGGCCGAGCCAGGAGGCCTGGCCAGGCCTTGGTGGCATCAGGAGGCAAGGTGCCTGGGTCAGCTTCCACTGCCTTCCTCCCCCACGTCTAGGAGGTTGGAGGAGTCCCTGCCCAGCTCTGCCCTACCTTGCTTGCTTCTGCCCTTCTCCATTTCCATATGGCCATGTACGTGAGCCGGTGTGACCTCGTGGGGCACGTGTGAGAGTGACTGAACCTGAGGCCATGTGTGTGTGCCCCAAGCCCATGTGTATGTGTGCACAGTCACGCGCATCCGTGTACTTTGAGACCCATGTACTCCTGTGTGTGCCTGGCCTGTGTGGTGTGAGAGGCTGGCAGCCCGCGCCCGCTCCCCCAGCCCCAGCCCCCCTGCAGCTCTAACCCCCTGTTCCTCATTTCCTCAGGCTGCACCGTGGACCCAGACGCAGGTGGTGAGAGGCCGCGGCAGCAGAGCCACTGACGGTGCCCTCCACCCGACCTCCAGAGCCCCCCACCAGGTGGGCCTCATCCCCCCAGGCCCATACCAGGCAGCAGATCTCTGAACTCATCCTGGGCCTTGGCCAGAATTGTACACCTCAGGCCAGACTCCTGGGTGGTGTCTGCCAGGGCCCCCCAGGGCCCCCCCTTCCTTCCCTGGCTCAGAAGGCACTCCCCATGGACCCACACCAGCTCCTGTTGGCACGAAGCCATAGAGCCACCAGGTGGGAAGATAGGAGCTCTGGGGACAGCCGAGCCTCCTGCCACTCAGAGCACACGTGTGTAGACACACATGAGCGCACACACACACGTGCACTCTCAAACCCACATCTGACCGCCCACAGCCAGCTGTGGCCCGCACATGTGGTCAGGCAGGCCTCCCACAGGTCACTCAGTGAACACCCTTTCCCTGGGGGGACAGGGAGAGCTAGCTGTCCACTAGCTGTGACCGGAGGCAGAGCTGGGGGAGCTGGGGCTGGGCAGGGGCGGGCAGAGGACAAGGGCTGCCGGTGAATGGTGAGCGAGCGAGTGGTCTGTGGGCAGTGCGGTGGACGGGCCAGACTCAGTGTGTGTCCACGGTGTGAGCGGTGCTTCCGAGTGGCAGCGGTGACGTGTGCTGAGCAGTGTGTGCAGCCCCTGTGTGCAGAGTGGGACCGGAAGCAGGCCTGTGTGCACCTCCCCATCACCATCCCTGCCTCCTGCTGCTTCCTCTTTCCTGCCTCTGCGCCTCCCTCCTGGCTCCCCTTTTCCTCCCTTCTCCCCATATTTCATAGTCGATGAGCTCTTCCTGGTCCTTCTGCGTCACCAGGCTCCTCCCTCCTAGCATCTTCAGGGCCAGGCTGGGAGGCACAAGGGAAACAGTAAAATCTGTATGGCCCAAGGTAGATTCCTCGACTCTTGCCTCCCTGGGGAGACCTGGGGAGCTGGGACTCTGCTAAGGGCTAGGGAAATGGCCTTTCTGAGGACCACAGGTAGGGTGTAAAGTCTGAGGACACAGTGACCTCAAAGCTTCCTGGCCTGATGACACAGGACAGAAGCCTAGGTCCTCAGCTAGTGCTTCCTACCATGATGAGGTCTGAACCCCTCTTTGGCCCCAAGAGTTGTAACTCTGTGGCCCAAGAGGGCCCTGGACAGAGACCTCCTGACCCAGTTGGTAAGGACTGACTTTAGTCCCAACAAAGCCACATTATGCCTCTTCCGGCTCCTGAGGCAGGGCCCTCCAAGGCCTGCTCCCCTGGTCTGTTCTGAATGCTGGACCAAGAGGAACCTCCCTTGGAGCCCACAGCATGGCCCTGCCCAGGGAGACCCAGCTGGATGGAGCTCAAACCCGAGAAGATCTAGGGGATGCAGAGGGGACCTTCAGGATGCCTCCTTGGGCTCGCGCTTGCCCTTGGCACCTGGACCCCTTGCCCTCCCTGGCTGTGGGGCCAGCATGGACAGTGCTGAGCCTCTTTCTGTCCTGCAGGATTACATCTTCTACCTGGAACCTGAGAGACTCGAGTCAGGGAAGGGCAAGTGTCCATATGACCCCAAGCTGGACACGACCTCAGCCCTCATCAGTGAGTGTCTCACTCCACCTGGGTTAAACTGAGTCTGGGTTTGGGGTGTGGTGAGGGGGTGTCTGCGCATTCCCAGTGTGTCTGGGACACAACAAAGGCTCACAAAGCTCCGATGTGGATCTCTGGCTGTATAGCCAGCTGAGGATCACGTGTTTCTCATCTGGGAACCTCCTCAGGGAGAGATCCTGCCTCGGGGCAGTTGCGGCCCCTACCCCCAGGTCGGGCAAACCACACACACACACACACACACACACACACACACACACGCTGGCCCCTGCCTTTTTTTCTGCCTTTTCACTCCAGTCCACCTCTAAGAGTAGCTGCCAGGCACTGTGCCACCACCAAGATTGGGAAAGGTCCCAGGTGGGGACAGATATTACCCTCCCCCATTGGCTAGTGAGAGTGCTCATTGGCAGAGTCCAGAGCCAGGCAGGCACACAGGGTCTGACAATGGATACAGGGCCTGCCCTGGCAGAGTCTGAGAGGAAAGACAAGGAGGGGGTGCTGGAGCCACTGCAATGGTTAAATTTTTAGGAGTTTTGGAGCCAATTGTGAAATATAGATAATATAAAAATTAAATGATAGAAAGTTACAACTAAATTATTGTGTGTTATCAAGTAAGAACTGACTTATAGCAGACCTCCAGTGAGTTTTTCAGAGGCAGTAAATCATGCACGAGGGGATTGCCCATCTTTCTCCCATGGAGCAGCTACTGGATTTGAACTATGTGCCTTTGGGTTGTCAGCACAGTTCCTTACCACTAGGACACCAGAACTCTACAACTAAATAAGTTAGATTTTTAAAAATGTTCTAGTAAAAAATAAAAGTTACAGATACTCAAAACTAATTACTTCTTAATCACTTTACTACTTACACTCTTGAGATTACTGAGACCTTATTTCTTTTTTTTTTAATTTTTATTTTATTATTTTTGTGTGAGTGTACCGTCAAATCGGATCTGACTGGTACAGGAGGAGATTGTCCCTCCTTCCCCAGCAGAGCATCTGGTGGAATTGAACTGTGCACCTCTGGAATTGTAGTTGCAGCTCCTGGCCACTAGGCCACCAGAGCGCCCCCCACCCCCTTATTTCTATAGGATGAAAATAGTACACAGTGGCCTCTGTAGCTCTTCCTAGCTTGCACTGACTTCAGGCTAGAAGCTTGAAATGGGTCGTGTTGGGGGTATTTACACCACAGGAATTGGCCATTGCTACTAATTAGGGCTTTTGCTCTCACAGCCCCACCTTCCAACCAGTGGTGAGACCCTTACCTGCCCACCATTGATGATGTGGGGAGCGAGAGCAAGAAGACAAGGCCCTGTCCTGGGCTCGTTCAGGCTGTGCCTCAGCAAAGGGCAAGCCCCTGACTGACCCACGACCCGCCCACAGATGAGGAGCTCTATGCCGGTGTGTACATTGATTTCATGGGCACCGACGCTGCCATCTTCCGCACGCTCGGGAAGCAGACGGCCATGCGCACTGACCAGTACAACTCCCGGTGGCTCAATGGTGAGTACGGCCTGCAAGACCTGGGAGATGGCAAAGGAGACGAATGGGGAGATGAATCTGTACCCCTGTAACTGGCTGGGGAGTGGTGGTCTTGTTTGGGGAAGAGCTGAGGGTTCCCCCTTTGGCTGAGGAAGAGGGCATTCTGAGAGAAGAGGTTTACTCAGCTGATGCCCTACTGCCCTCAGACCCGTCCTTCATCCATGCCGAGCTCATCCCTGACAGCGCAGAACGCAATGATGACAAGCTCTACTTCTTCTTCCGGGAGCGGTCGGCAGAGGCCACTCAGAGCCCCGCTGTGTATGCCCGCATCGGGCGCATCTGCTTGGTAAGAGCGAGTGGGGCCCCCTGCCAGCCCTCGCTGTGCGGCAGAGTCTGGGCATGAGCGAGCTGACCTGGTCTCTGCTCTCTAGAACGATGATGGTGGGCACTGCTGTTTGGTCAACAAGTGGAGCACTTTCCTCAAGGCCCGGCTGGTCTGCTCGGTGCCTGGCGAGGATGGCATTGAGACCCACTTTGATGAGCTCCGTGAGTACCTGGCAGGGGCTGAGGGCTACTGCGGGAAGAGTTAAGGCTGAATAGGTGGGTGAGGTGCCCTCAGTGGGTCCCCACAGCTACAATGGGGCTCCTGGCTCAGGCACACTCAGCACTTCTCTCTCTGCCCCCAGAGGACGTATTTGTCCAACAGACCCAGGACGTGAGAAACCCAGTCATTTATGCCGTCTTCATCTCCTCTGGGTGAGCAGGGGTCAGTGTGGCCAGACTGAGGGTTCTGATTTATAGAAGACCCCAGTTTGCTGCTGTAAAGAGCCATGGGGATGGGGCAGGATGGGTAGGGGTCCTGGGCCAAGGGTCTGCTCTGCTCACAGTAGCCACTTGCCCACCCACAGCTCTGTGTTCCGAGGCTCTGCTGTGTGCGTCTACTCCATGGCAGACATTCGCATGGTCTTCAATGGGCCATTTGCCCACAAGGAAGGCCCCAACTACCAGTGGATGCCCTTCTCAGGGAAGATGCCCTATCCCCGGCCAGGCACGGTAAGGACCCCACTCACCCCCATCGCTCACCTTTTCCTCTCAGAGTCTTGATCTGGGCCGGGTGCTGCATACCTGTCTCCCACCATCATGAAGCCCACGCACAAATAAGCCACCCGTGTTCACATCAACTCTGAAGGAACCGCAGGCTGATTGTGTGGGCTCCTCCATGGATCAGAGGTGGTGTTTCTCAGCTAAAGGTCACAGGGAAGCAGCTAGAGGGTTGGAAAGGAGGTGTTCAGAGGTCAGGCCCACACAGCAGCTGCGGGCAGATAAGGAGTTTCATTATACCTCAGTGCCATGGGGCCTGCTGCCGAGGTCTGAGCAGGATAGCCACACGAGCGGGTCAGAGGCAGTAAGACTGCTCAGTTCTGTGTGGTCAGCCTGGGGCGCGGGGTCTCCGCAGGCTTCATCCCAGAGTCTAAAAGAACGGACTGACTTATACTGGCAGAGGTAGGAGCAGGCTGAGGCCTAGGCAGGGGAAACAAGCGTCAGGGAAGGGAGACTAGGGCTGGTTAAGGGGACCCTCAGGGGCCCTTCAGCTGAGCAGGAAGGAGAGAGGTAAGTCTGTGAGAAGCAGCTGGAGGGGATGGAGACAGCAGGGAGGGGTATGAGGACATGGAGAGGGAGTGGTCGCATGAGGCTCAGGTAATAGCCATGGGATTTGGCTACCCTGGGATCTTAGGGCCTTGACTAAAATGGGCCTTCCCGAGAGGTTTGAGGGTGGGGACAGAAGTTCCCGTGGGGGATTTTGAGGAGAGGGTCAGGGTTGTGGGAGCAGACAGCCCTGAGGCCTCTTCTGAAGCTGATCGGTTAGTGTCTCACCCAGATGAGCTGGCACTGACGCTCCCATCTGCCCACAGTGCCCTGGTGGGACCTTCACACCCTCCATGAAGTCCACCAAAGACTATCCAGATGAAGTCATCAACTTCATGCGCAGTCACCCGCTCATGTACCAGGCCGTGTACCCGCTGCAGCGGCGGCCCCTGGTGGTCCGCACAGGCGTTCCCTACCGGCTCACCACTGTCGCAGTGGACCAGGTGGACGCAGCCGATGGGCGCTATGAGGTGCTTTTCCTGGGCACAGGTACCCGCTGCTGCTCCCAGCCCCTCCCACGCTGGGCCCACTGGGCGGGGGGTGATGCTCCATGGGGGCTGGGACCTGCCCTGCTAGGGGGTTGCTGCAGGATCGTGAAGGTCAGCTCTGCCACCCTCATCCCCCAGAGCCTGTTCCCATGCTGTAGCAACCAAGAGAGCAGAGGCACTGTTGGGGCACCTGAGGGCCCCTTATATGGACAGGAAAGGAAGGCAAACACTAACAGAATATACAGGACCACATACTGGTGTGTCACAAGCATACCCCGCACATGCAACTCTAGTAGTCCCCAACATGGGTCCCAGAAAAAGGGTCTGGAGTCCAGGAGCAAATCCTGAGTCCTCGTTTTCTGGGCCAACCCCCCAGGCCCCTGGGCACCTTTTTGTGGGGAAACCCCTCCACCTTGGCACAGCACTCCTGCTCTGCTACCCTCAGGGAGTTTGGGCCCTGGTGGGGGAAGGGGCTGAGGCTGATGCCCCTCCCCCAGCCGCCCCCAGCCTCACTGAGGCCCTGCCCGGCCCGTTCCAGACCGAGGGACAGTGCAGAAGGTCATCGTACTGCCTAAGGATGACCAGGAGATGGAGGAGCTCATGCTGGAGGAAGTGGAAGTCTTCAAGGTAGGTGCAGCACCCCAAACCCCAAGTCCTGCCCACCAGCAAAGCGCCTAATAGACATCAGATGTCCAGGGCAGGGCCGGGAGCGATCCCCAGGGTGCTAAGCTGACCCTCACCTTCTTCCAGGAGCCAGCACCAGTTAAGACCATGACCATCTCTTCCAAGCGGGTGAGTCTTTGTGGAGGTAGGCAGGGTAGAGATTGCATCGCCTAAGAGTCACATCTTGGGAAACAGGATGGGGAAAGCAAGGCAGAGAACAGGGAAAGGAAGGAGCCTGGGCAGGCTGGCTGTGGGGAAGAAACTGACGAGTTCCTGGCCTCACCCTCAGCAACAACTGTATGTGGCCTCTGCTGTGGGCGTCACACACCTGAGCCTTCACCGCTGCCAGGCATACGGGGCCGCCTGTGCCGACTGCTGCCTTGCTCGGGACCCCTACTGCGCCTGGGATGGCCAGTTCTGCTCCCGGTACACAGCATCTTCCAAGAGGTATGAACCTCCAGCCCCCAGGCCCTGTTCTGGGCTTAGAAATAGAAAATGGGATGCTTTGGGGGAACCTATGAATGAGACACCACTCTCTCTGCTCTGGGGAAATGGAGTCCTGGACTCTGGAGTTTTGGGGCATTCTCCCCCAGAGGCATACCTTCAAGACCTGTCCTCATCCAGGCGCAGTCGGCGGCAGGACGTTCGGCACGGAAACCCCATCAGACAGTGCCGTGGGTTCAACTCCAATGGTGAGTTTGTGGAACCCTTCACACCACACGGCCGCTACATCCACCATAGCTACTCACCACACAGCCCCCCTATAAGAGCTCTCAGATGTCCGTGGGCTGGGAGGATGCTGCAGTTTTAGAGTGGGATATCCCTGCCATTCCTCAAGGAGTGATGCCCAATGACCTAGCCCCTGAAGGTGCCCCTCGGGGCCTGCGCCTTGCTAATGCGTGGTCTGCCCGGGAGTGCCACTATATCCACCAGCACCTTCTTGATCCACAGCCAACAAGAATGCAGTGGAATCTGTGCAGTATGGAGTGGCGGGCAGTGCAGCCTTCCTTGAGTGCCAGCCCCGCTCGCCCCAGGCCACTGTGAAGTGGCTTTTCCAGCGAGATCTGGGAGACCGGCGCCGCGAGGTGAGTTCTCACGCCCACAGTCCCGCAGCCTGGGTGTGGGTGCCAGAGTCTCTGGTGTAGAGAAAAAGCCCCATGTGACTGAAATGTGTAAAGAAACCATCTGCGACAGCCCTCGTTCTGTGAAACACCTTCTTGTTTTTTAACTTACTAATTTCCGTTTTTATTTCTTCTGTAATCCAATAGAGCTCAAGTAGGGTATTAATTAGCTTCCATATGAGTGGTGTTCTGGGGTTTTTTTAAAAATTGATATTTTAACGAAAGTTTGAATGAATGAAAATCTAATTTTCTGTAAACTTTCATTGAAATATCAGTGAAACACTTTCTGACTTCTCTCCCTTAGGAAATTATTTGACTGAATCTTGCTATATGGAAACTCCTTGGAGTAGACCTTGTTATATGGAAAACTATTTATAGGCATCTCTCTTTGCATGAAAATCCCATATTGGTGCCTTACAGGTTTATGTTTGTCCTATGAAAATGTCAGGTGAACTTCACTGGGTGGAAATTTTGTAGGATAACCCTCCTTTTATGAAAATGTCTTAAAATTATGACAGACATCATGCTGGGGAGGGCAGAAGGTCAGAGAAAGAGAGGAAGACTTTGAACAAGATGGATTGACACGGTGGCTGTAATGACATAGGGTCAGAGGTAGAATAGTGCAGGATAGGGCAAGGTTCAGATCTGTCATTCATAGAGTTGCCGTGAGTTGTATCGACTCAACACTAACAACAACATGGAATGGAAACCCTATAAATTCCATGCCTGCGTGCTATGTTGTATGGAAATTCTCTCCTTGTTTGAAATGCCTTCTGGTCATCTCTTCTGGCACACTTGTTAGCTGCCATAAGACTCGTAGCGACCCTATGAACAGACCCTGCCATCCTATCCTATGCCATCCTTATAATTTCTGACCTACTTGAGCCCATTGCTGCAGTCATTGTGTCATTTCATCTAATATTAAGAGCCTTCCTCTCTTTTCCAACCCTCCACCTTTCCACGTCTGATGCCTCTCTCCAAGGAATAGGCTCTCCTAGCAACCTGCCTAAAGTATGTAAGACGAAGCTTTGTTATCTTTGCCTCCAAGGAGCACTCTACTCTGGCTGCGCCTTCTCCAAGACATACCTGTTCTTCTGACATGGAATTCTTTAATGATGCCTTGTTCAGATGCTTCTCATGCCTTAGAAGCCTCATGTGGGTTTTTCCTCTTGGAATGTGGAAACCCCACTCGGGTGCTCTTACGTGGAGTGGCTCCAAAGGTGATCTAATCTCAGAGTGCAGCGAGTGGGTCACTTGGCCCTGATCCCCTTCCCCCTGCCCCTGCAGATACGCTCGGAGGACCGCCTTGTGCGCACAGAGCAAGGCTTGCTGCTCCGCGCTCTTCAGCTCAGTGATCAGGGCCTCTACTCCTGCACAGCCACGGAGAACAACTTCAAGCACATCGTCACTCGGGTGCAGCTGCACGTGCTGGGCCGGGATGCTGTCCATGCTGCTCTCTTCCCCCCACCAGCTGGGAGTGCCCAGCCGCCTCTGGGCTCAGGCCCCCCAACCCCTCCCTACCAAGAGCTGGCCCAGCTGTTGGCCCAGCCGGAAGTGGGCCTCATCCACCAGTACTGCCAGGGCTATTGGCGCCATGTGCCCCCGAGCCCCAGGGAGGCCCCAGGAGCACCCAGGCCTCCTGAGCTCCAGGACCAGAAAAAACCTCGAAACCGCCGCCACCATCCGCCGGACACATGAGGCCCTGCAATGGGCCAGCCTAGTCTTCATCCCTTTTAATATAAAAGATATATATATATATAAATATAAAAAATATCTATATTCTATACACACCCTACCCCTGCAAAGACAGTATTTATTGGTGGGTTGTATATAGCTTGCCTCAGTGGCAGCATTGTCCAGAACCTGGACCCATGCTCGTCAGAGACAGCAGAATACAGAGTGCCATCGGACCAGGTCAGGACCTAGCGTCCCCGCAGAAGTCTACCTGCTCCACAGCCGCCACCAGGATCTGCAGGACAGGGGAAGGAAGGAGCCCTGCCCGGACTGCACACCTGTGCCATGAGCACTGCCAAGCCATGCTGTGGCACAGACGTGGATTCAAGGACTGCTTCGGAGACTGGGGTGGGCGGGGTGGGCTCAGGTGCACTCAGAGAAGGGAACAAGGGGGCCAGCACAGGATGCCAGACCTTGCCTGGGAGGGGGCGCCCAGCTGAGGGCAGCCACTTCCTGGGTATTTATTCTCTATTTATTGGGTACAGGACAGAGTCCCACCTGGATGGGGCAGCCCCTCAGCCCCTCCTCCACTCCCTGCTTGGCTAGGACAGGGCTGCCCATTCTCTTTAACTTTTCCTGTGCCACCTTGAATTGAGGCCAGAGGACCACAGTGGGCCGTGCACAGGCAGGGCTGAGAGGAACACCCCAGCCCTGAGGGGAGGGGACCACCATGGAGGCCTGGGGCCTGCAGACACCTCTCCAGGGGCCTTCTTCTGCCACCACCCTGAGCAATGGGTGTACATAGCTCTGAGGGGCAGTTGGATGGCTGACTGGGAGCTCCTTGCAGCCCTCTGCTGCCCAGGCCACACACCCTGGAATTACATCTTGCTAATAAACACTGGCTCTGGGACTAGACTCCAGCTTCTCTCCTTTGGGGCCAGGGAGGCCAGAGCCCCAGATCCTGCCCCTCCCAGTTCTCCACACCCCCCAGCATGGCCTGCCCTCCAACTCTCAGATCTCTCTTGCTCTCAGCTGCTTCTTTCTCATTCAGTACTTCAGTCATTTGTTGGCTTTCTTGCTCAGCCTCATGCAGGGAACAGAGGACTCAGAATTGGCAAAAAAGAGGCAGTCCTCCAGCTGTCCGCACTCAGAGAATCTGATGAAATTCTGCTCCTTGTCCTCCCAGCCCCCTCTCACAAGGACCCAGCATGAGCAAATACTGATGGAAAATGCTGACGTGAAGAAGGGACTTTCGTGCCAAGTTTATAACCCTAGAGCCGTGCACAGGCAGGGCTGAGGAAACCCACAGATCCTGCAGGGGTTTAGGGTCACAGCTGGCACCTGAGGAGCCATCAGCAGAAGCTGGCCTGATTGGCCACCACTGGAAGCAGATCCAGTATGCAGAGAGTAGGTCTGGGTTTGTTACCCAATTCCTGCACCCTGGGTGGTCTCAGGCGCTACAGAAACTCCCCACCCTACCAGCCCATTCAATGTGGAGGTGATGAGTCTGAATGAAAGTTGAAGGCTACAAATGGCGCTTATACAAGCATACCCCAGAGAGATCCCCCTGCACTGCATGGTCCATGAATAGAGCCAATTACCCATTTTCTCCATGATCCCTTACAGCCAACCTTCAGCCTGCCATGCCTGGGGCCCTAGCGCCCCCTTGTGGTGTCTTGGGTTAGCTAGGGAAAGGTTGTGCGGTTTGGAGGACAAGGTCAGCCAAAGGACCACTCGCCTTTGGATAGGGCCTCGAGAGCGTAGTTTGGGTCTTATGATGGAAGCAGTGGTCCCAGAGCCTGAATTCTCAATATTATGTGCTCAGCCCAATCACTCCCGCACAGCAGCTCACCCCAGCCCACTGAACACGTGTCTGTGGGTCAGACTCTGGGTGAAGTAGGGTAGGTCTGAGACGTACTGCCCCAGACGGTTCTATGGTGCACGATGAAGCAGCGTGGGCAAGCCCCTCTCCTCTAAACCCCAAGGAATGGCAGACCTGCTATAGGACTCAGTTTCCTCCTGTGACAATGGGACTGCAGAACAGTGGAAGAGCTGGCCACTTAGAAAAGACAGTGTGTATAAAAGCATGCCGGCACACACCCACCCAGGTGTGCAAATGTGCATGTATGCAGGAATATACTTGCACAGGCACACTCATCCACAGTCACAGCGTATGCACACACTTCACACGTGCACACATGTACAAGCATGTGCATAAAATACATATGTGAACCTGTACTAACGTGTGAAAAGTATGCAGACAAGCACCTGTGCCTATGGAGAGAATCACACAATTGCACACAGACCGACACACATCTACATATAAACAAGCATACATACATACACACATTAATGACAAGCACAGAAATCACACACCCAAAATCCTGTAAGTCATCGCCTTGCTTGATGTGGGTGAGGGACAGACATACACGGGCACGTGTGTCCACTGTCCTCCCGCCATGAAGCATCAGTGGGCCTGCTAGCGTGAGAATTTGCCTTTGGCATGGAGATGATGCAATGTCAGCCTTCTCACTCATACGCTCCTGCAGTATATGGAAGCCTGGTCCAAAGCCACTCAGCCAAGCTCAAATGTCTTCTGTTGTGTGACCCTCTGGCCTTCCTTCCACTTCCTTATCAGAAAAATGGAGCTGAGATGGGTACTTGTCCCCCAGGCTCGTGTGAACTTAAAGCGCCTCAAGCTCTGGGCTGAGCTCTGTGCTGGGCAGACTGCATGTGCTCCATGCTTCTGTCTCTTCACCAGCCTGATGCCAGCCCCCATCTCGGGGGTCCAGGGCCTCTTCTCCCCTCAGACCTGCATATGTCTCCCAACTCTGGGGTGGGGGCAGAGCACAGAGGCCTCTGCCAGAGGCGGAGGCGGAGCACTGAGGGTGGTGCAGAGTCAGCAGTTGAGGGATTGGGGCCACAGAAGCCCGATTAGAAGGGTTGGGGGCCTGAGCTGGATTCACCTGTCCTTGTCTCTGATTGGCTCTTAGGCACCCCCCACCCCCAAATCCCACTAAGAAGCCCCCGCCAGGGCCTGTGTAGAGAGCCAACTGGTTGCCAGTCCTGGGCCTGAAGGGCATCTGGGGAGGCCAGAGGCTGGCCAGACCCTGGCTCTGGGGATCCCCTCCATCCAGAAGAGTCACCTGCCCACCCTGTCCCTTCCCCTCCTCCTGGGACCATGGGGGCTGGGGCCAGTGCAGAGGAGAAGCACTCCAGAGAGCTGGAAAAGAAGCTGAAAGAAGATGCTGAGAAGGATGCTCGAACCGTAAAACTGCTGCTTCTGGGTAGGGTCTGGGCCCCGGTGGGTCAGGGCACCAGGTGTGGGAGCTGACAGGGGCCCTTCTGTGAAGCTGGGATTCCTTGGGATTGAGTGACTCTATGCAGGTCAGGGCATAGAGAGGGCCTGACCCTCAATGCCTCTTGGGAGGGCCAGACCTCAGGCAATGCTGTCACCCTGGCTGTGTTCGCTGAGTTCCCTCAGGCTCCAGCTTTTGGCCTGTTAGTCATGGGCTCAGAAACTGTGGGAGTCATAAACCAGGCCTGGGGGACAACACTGACCCACAGGCAGTGGCTCTCAGGTGCCAGAGTTTTTTGGCGGCCAAGCTTCAAAGGGAGTGCTGGTGGCCTAGTGGTAAGGACCTGTGCTGCAATCCCCAACGCTCGCGGTATGAATTCGCCAACTGCCCTGCAGGAGGATGGGCAAACTCTTGCCGGGAGATTAACTGCCTCTAAAAACTGCTGGAGAGTCAGCAGTGGGTCGGTATGACTCAACAACAACAACAAGCTTCAATGGAGGGGAAAGATCCAAGTCCAGAGGAGACTAGACAAGCCATGCCTATGGTTGAACGGGTCGGGGAAAAAAGTGATGCCAATCCACTATTCAGGGCTGCCTCTCAGCCACTGTCTGAGGGAAATAAGATGTTTTAAGAAGTGCCACACCAATTCTTTCTGCCTCTTCAGGATTCAGACTGCCAGGAGGACGCAGGTAGATAGATCCCTGGGCACTTCACAGTAGTAAAAGAGGCTAAGCCGGGAATATCATTAATTGTGTCCAGAGCTCTCACACGGCTAAGCTTGGAAGGACTCAGTCAGCTTTGCCCTCCTCCTCACCCAAAGGCGCTAATTCCCTCTGAGTCTTCTGGAGATGCCCTAGCTCTCGCTCCAGATGAAAACCAAAAGCTGATCCGGCTCAAGGAGTGTCAGTGGGGCAGTATTAAGCGCTGGACTGCCAACTGAAAAGTAGGTAGTTTGAAGCCATCAAGTTCTTCCAGGGGAAAAGTGACGGCGAACGTAAAGAGTACAGCCTTGGGAGGCCTGTGAAGCAGTTCTACCTCCTCCTATATGGTCGCTATTAATTGGAACTGATGCTGAATTGGAAATGACTTACAATTATACGGTCACAATGAGTTGATACTGACAATGGATGATCCTCCCCATCCTTCCAACCCAGTTCAACTCAAATGATTCCGGGAAGGCAGTACCAGAATTGTCCACAAGGTGGCGGTCCAGGATTTTTTTTTTTTGGCCCTAGAGCCTGAAGCCCGTGGGATATTGAGCAACTGCGTATATTTAAGCACGCCACTGCTAATATAAAGGTTGGAGGTTCAAACCTAACTTGCGGTTCTGAAAAAGAAAGACCCGACGATCAGCTCCTGTAAATATTAAAATAAAATCAAAACTATTTTTATTCTGTTGATTATGGCTCATACAAGGCTAGAAGAAATTTAGCCCATAGGATTCTAGGCTTGCACATCTTAGGGAAGCGGACAGAGTGCCATATCTTTCTCCCTTGGAGCATGTAGGATGATTAGCAGTTACCGCTTAACCTACTAACCAACAAGGTTCCTCCAGAAAAAATTACAACTTAGAAAATTCATGGGGACCTTCTACTCTGTCACACGGGGTCGCTATGAGTCGAAATCCACTTGATGGCACCTAATATATAACAAGATCAGGAGTCGCTGGGGGTGCAAACGATTAACGGAAAAGTTGGAGGTAAGAGCCAATCCGGAAACAGCTGG